AGCAGACAGGACAGCAGTCAGTGTAGGGATCAGGATGGAGAGAAGTCAGTGTGGAAATCAGGATGGAGAGCAGTCAGTGTGGGGAGCAGACAGGACAGCAGTCAGTGTGGGGAGCAGACAGGACAGCAGTCAGTGTGGGGATCAGGATGGAGAGGAGTCAGTGTGGAAATCAGGATGGAGAGCAGTCAGTGTGGGGATCAGGATGGAGAGGAGTCAGTGTGGAAATCAGGATGGAGAGCAGTCAGTGTGGGGATCAGGATGGAGAGTAATCAGTGCAGGGATAAGGATGGAACGGAGTTAGTGTGGGGATCAGGATGGAGAGTTGCCTGTCTGGGGGACCAGGATGGAGAAGAGTCAGTGATGTGATCAGGATGGTGAGGAGTCATTGAAGGGGATCAGGAGGAAAGTGGTGTGCAGGATGGAGAGCAGTCAGTGAGGGGGACCAGGATGGAGATCAATCAGTTGGGGGTGATCGGGAGAAGAGTCCGTGGGGGATCAGGATGGAGAATAAGGGTGATCAGGATGGAGAGAAGTCATTTGGGGGGATCAGGATGGAGAATGAGAGTGATAAGGATGAAGAGGAGTAAGTGTGGGGTTCAGAAAGGAGAGCAGTCAGTAAGGAGTCGGATGGAGAGCACACAGTACAAGCAGGACAGGACTCTCGGCAGATAATTAGGCTTTGCCTCTGCTGATGCTGGGAGTCCCGGCGCGTGCTGAGGTGGCTCGTGCCTCTGTGGCAGCGCGTGCAGCTGATCCAGCAGGAAGATCCGGAAGATCCAGCAGGTCTCTATTCTCTTTACATGTTAGAACACCGACCTGGACGTGTGCACTCAACGCCCTCTGCCACCTACTTTCCCCATAATTACATTGCTAAGAAGTAAATGACTGTGTGCAGGCTTTTATGCAAACTACATTATTCATCATTCTGGGCTATGTACAGCCAGCTACAGACTACCTGTGGACACGATCCGAGACAGACAATAAAAGTTAAAGAATTACCTGTATCTTTGTGCATCTTTTCTGCAGTGCCAGGTTAAAGCACAAATCTCGTCTAGGAGAGAATATTCTCCCTACCTTTAGTATCGGTGCAGATCCTGAACCTGTAAAGAAACATATAAAGGTGAATAAAATACAAAGTATAGCACAATAACTGCTCCCATGCCTGGCGGAGCACATACTGCCTCTGTGATGGGCATTTTGGACATCAGACTCTGGAAAATGTGGAAAATTCCCTCTTCTAAAATCGATGTGAACCAACAACCCCACCACCCCCAGCCCCCACCACAGATCATATACGGACAAAGATCTCTTTTGTTGCTTCTTTAACAGATGGGGTACCCACGCCAAAATGTGTATATTTAAATTGCAGACAAAAAGCTGTTTTATGAAAAGTTTGGATTGAGAAGCGTGCGACATGCATGTTGCAGAGGGGGAGGGGAGGGGGCTCCGGGAGGAGGACTCAGAGGAGATGAGAGGGGAGGGGGGTGCCGACGTGTGTCAGACGCGTGCAGCCTGCGATCCCCCCCAAACCCCACTAGAATACAATTTGGATGATCCGCATTCAAAAGAATGACCCATATGGACCCATAGTTTTCTGTTTGTCATGGTAATCTCTACTCAGATTAAAGAAAATGCAATTAGGGAAAGATCCTAAATGTAAACGTCTCTTCTACGGGACATAACTGCCAAAACTGGGGACGTTCTGTTGGCTGTTTTAAATGAAAAAGTAAGAATGTATTGCTTTGTACAGAGCAAAATGTGGAAAATGTGACTGCAGATTCAATGGAGGGTCAATGTAAATTCTTTACTATTAAAGAACAGGTAAACCCTGGCAATGAACTTCTGACATATTCCCCCTTTAAGTCTGTTAAACAATAATGGGAGCTTTTTGTCATATCTGCTGGTAAGTACAAAGATAAAGTTAAAGTACAGGTAAAGAACAGGTAAAGTTTGGACTGTAACAAGCTGAAGACCCTCCGGATGATGTAACTACAATAGAGGCAGAACACGGAGAGGGAATGGAGAAAGAGGGAACATGTACGAATGGAGGGAAGCACAGAAATGAGGATAGGGGATAGAAGACAGAAAGAAAGGCGAGAGACTTT